CTGCATATTGCATGTTCTCTGTTGCATGTAAGTTTGTGTGCATCTATCCATAAGCCATTTTTTGCATGCTTTCCACTGGATAAATTTTGTGGAAGGCAAGTTTCAGCTTAAATGAAGTCTGTCATGATAAACCCTTCCCGTTTAATGCATGATATTGCCAGTTATTATACAACTTTCCGTAACTTTTAATAACTTAATTAAGATTGACTAAGACTGACTATCATTTCTTGTCCATCACTTCCTGTAGTGGAAGTACAGAGAGCAGTATGAACGTGCCAAGTCGAAGTACACCGCAGTGCTGGATACCCCTGATTACCAAGTTGCCAAGCGCAGCAAGCAGATCAGCGATGTGAGTATCATCACAATCTGCCTTCCATAACGTGGAAAGCATTTGTACATGCATATAGACGTTCCTAATTTTCACACATAGATGTCACTTGAGAATTACTCCAGTCATTGTATGTGAATGCATTCATCTGTTCTCTTCTCTAGATCATTTATAAGATGGAACACAACAAGACCAAAGCGACAAGTTACACTCTTGGACATGACACTCCCATGAGCCAGCACATGAAGAAGGTCAAGGAGATCACCAGCAATGTAGGTTAACCTTTCATTACGTTTGCAGAAAGGAACCAATTTCTTTTTATGTTAGTATATACTTAATTTCAACCTTCTGTTTTTTTTACAGCTGAAATACAAGGAAGTGTATGAAAGAAACAAGGCTCACATCAACATGGCACCTGACGCTCACGACATTCGTGCCGCCAAGGAAGCCTACAAGAACATCAGCAATGTGAGTCTGCATTGATCTGCACTGAGCATCTGTGAAACTGAATGGCAAGTCAGCGTCTCATTATGCATATAATTTTTTTGTGCTTTTCCTCCTTGTAGCTTGACTACAAGAAGAAGTATGAGGCCACCAAGAACAAATGGATCTGGACTGTGGACAGACCTGATTTCGTCCATGCTGCGAAGAACAGCTTCCAGCAGAGTGATGTTCGTGCCATTCGATTTTCTACCACGGTTTCAGTTATAGAAAAATAACCTTCAGTTATAAAAAAATCATTACAGATTAATGAATTGATTTGTTTGTAATTCACAGGTTGAGTACAA